GCTCATTTGCTTGGTTTAGTTTTTTCCTAAATCAGCTGGTGCTGAGGAGTAATAAAATATTTATTAGATGTTACAAAACCAAACCCAGCACAGCACAGTGAGCAGTTAAATGCTCCTGCTCGCAGCAGTGCCTGAACAGCAGGTGCCTTAAGCAGGAAGAGTTCTGTGCTGCTCGGGATTGTGTGCTGGTCTCTAGACAAAAGGCAGAGGTGCTTCCCCTAGGAATAACTCACAGCCCCCAGCTGAACCAGTCCTGTGGGAGACGGGCGATACTCATGTGCTGAGCCATTGGGGACTCTCGTGCAGCACGGCTGTGCATCCTCACATCCTGGTGCAGGGCAGACCCTGGAAAGGATGGCCTTTCCTTGCAGATCTTCTGTTGGATAGGGTGCTGCCATAGCTTAAAGTAGGTTGCAAGGGGCTTCTGGAGGTCTGTGGCCCAATTCCCCTGCTCAAAGCAGGGCTTCCTCCCAGACCACATGATGTTCGTGCAATCAGGTTGTGAAAACTTGCAAGACTGGAGAAGCCACAGTCTCTCTGGGCCCCCGTCTCAGTGCTGGACCACCCTCACTGTAACATTACATGAGAAGTCTTAAAAATTCTTGTGAAACTCTCAACTAGCTTTCAAGGCATGTCATCTGTGGCTGTTGGACATTTAGTGCTGTTGATGTGGATCATACAAAACTTGGAAAGACAACGGTCCTGTGAACACAAGTCATCTTGTTTTCTTCACACATGCAGACTTGAAAGTTCACTTAAAAAAGTGAAACTCTGCAGAGATTGTTCCCGTTCTTCCAAGTTCAAAGCATGTAAATTTGAGACTCTGCTTTGAGCCCATCCACAATACAGCGTAGGCTAAGAAACCCAAATCCAGCTAACATCGTATTGTGTGATGCAGACCCAGCAAAGCATTTTGGAGAGAGGATAGATTAGTGAGGCACGTTGCTGTATGTAACTTCTTTCAGGGAATTTTTCCATGGCAAACTGCTGCTCTTTTCAGTGCGTGTGACCTGGTGGTGTAGGCGAAGGAGGCTGGAGATGATGCACAGAGCTGGTGCCAGCTGTTCGCTGGCTGGAGCAGCTCTGGAGAAGGTGCCGTGGCTCCGTGGGTTTGCGTTCGGCTCTGAGTCAGATGGAGTATGTGGAAAAATAAGATGTAGCCGGAAAGCTGCTGGTGAGCATTTGTCCCGTGGAGGCTGCTGCGCCGTTTGCTCACATCTGCATCAAGCCAATTCCAGAAATTGCCTCTGTGATTTGCTTGTGACCGTAGTGGGGATATGGTACGGGCCAGAGATTGCTCCCTCCCGTCTCTGAGGACACCAGGTTGTGCTGGGCATGCAGTTTCTCTTAAAAACAAAACAAAAGACCAAGAAGGTAGGAAGCATTCGGATGTCCTGATCTAGTCACTGGTGAGCTCTTCCCCATCATTTATTCTGTTATGGAGAAGCCCTCTGCCAAGCTGCTTATGAAAAGCTGCACAGTCCACTAAGGATGCCAGCCCAGAGCTCCATGGGTGCCCTGCCTCATACCTGTGCCAGGAGTTCATCATCGCCGACTCAGTTAATTACTTTTTTAATAAGTATGTGTATATCTGGCAACTTAAGTACTCATGCTTGAGATAGATAGAGGCTGTGAAACACTCTGCTGCATCAACACAGCACAATACTAACCTTGGGGGGTTGTTTGGGTCCAGGGTCGCTGCATGCAGCAGGGTGTCCTGTCGAATGTAGCGATAACCGTTGGTTCTCCAACGGCTGTCACGCACCCAGAGCAGTTGTGGGTAAAAATAGAATAAACCTCTTCCTTCCTGCAAAGTATTCCTGCGTTCTCCTCCTCTCCTGTGTGATGGCACCTGGATTTGTATTTGGATCAGGGGCAGGGATGCTCTGCCCCCCTGCCAGCATCACACCCGCTGGGCTTGCAACCCGACAGGGTTTCACCTCCTGCTGTAGCTGGTGCAAAGGCGATGCTGCTCCACTGATGTGCTTCGAAGGGGAAGTAATTCCGCTCTTTTCCACTATTTGTAAGCACACTACGGAAGGTAATTGAGAAGGGGTTTGTGTTGGCCCCTTACTGGGTCTGTGGAAGCTGTTGGCTTGCTTCATCTGGATTTTTAGCTGATCACTAGTGCCTCCAATAGAGAGAGATAAAATAACACCCCAGCCTTTAAAGCACTTCAGTTTCCAGGTGAGTGTTCAGGGCATGTGCCCTTTGAAGCCTGTGGATGGGTTGGCATCGCTTGGCCCCTGCTTAAAGGCTTTGGAGCTGCCCCCCTGCCCCAGGGGCACTTCTGGGGTTCGGCAGCAGTGCTCTTGGTGCCTGACAGCAAGAAGAGGCATGAGATAGGGAGGTGGAGCGTGCTTGGCAGGTTTTCATAGAATCACAGAATGGTTTGGGTTGGAAGGGACCTTAAAGATCACCTGGTTCCAACCCCCTGGGTCTGGCCACCCTCCGCTTCCCAGCTGGTGCGGACATTGTGCACCTGCTCTCTGCTGCAGAAGCTGGATTTATTATGAAAGCGTTTAATTTTGGCTCAGATTGATGCTTTCTTGATAATGTCCGTAACAGTGTCACGGGCACGGATCAATACATCAGTGCTGTTTCACAGTCTGGGTCCCGTTAGCTGGAGATTGGGCTACGTGGCAGCATGGCACGATCAGAGGGGATCTCCTTTTCCCTGGACGGGGAAAGTATTTGCATAGATCTTAGGGGTGAGGGGGAGGCAGCTGACCCTCCGGTAGAGACAAATCTGATGATTCAGTTCCATGGGGCTGAGGAGCTCATGTGCGAGCTGCGTACTGGGAGTTTCTGGGAATTTCCAGAAGAATTGCTCGTTTTGAAGGTGGCCCATTCAATACTGAGGAAGGAGCAGAAGATATTGCTGCTAGATGGTATTACAGGAATTAAACAGGCAAGGATTTCTGGAGGTTGTCCTAAGAAATAACCTGGGAAACGAAATAAAAAGAAAGCCATGCACATTGTTAAAATCCTAAATGAAAAGCCTCTTAGCTCAGGGTATCTGTGCTCATCGTATGTCTTTCCTTGTGCCTCAACCCCCTGATTTCGGTGTTAAATTTGGTGTTCCCAGTTTCTTTTCTTGGTTTCTTATGGTCTCTGTTGCCATGTTGTTTCTGCCTGATGTTCACCGTAGTTACTAATACAAAATCATCAATACATAATTAACATCTTGCTTTTCTTCTGGGTAATTAAGTGCTTAATAAAAACAGCCCTAGCACCTTCCCACAGGTGTCTCCCACTCCATTACTACATTGTCTCTGTATCCTCTTATCGCTGACCCAGTTTCCAGTTCCATCAGAAGCTTCTGTCGGCTCAGGTTTGGAGCCTGCGTTACGTCTGAGCATTGCCCGAGGGCTTGTGATGTCTAGGGTGCTATTGGTAAACGCCACAGAGGGGTTTAGGTGCCTGACATGGCAGATGGACCCTTAGAGCCAAAAATTAGATCCTTCCAGCCTTAAAGCCGGGAGCTTTTGGCAGTGGTTGTCCACAGAGCTCATCACAGACCAAGGCTGAGGTGGGTCAGGTTAGAGGGACGGTCCTTGCTCCAGCCCTGTGATGCTGAGCCTTCTTGCATGTGTGAGACCCTGTGAAGAGTGGGCTGCTGTTTTGGGGGTGGGAATGACCCGCCTTTCCAGAGCCCACAGGGATGGCAAAGGCTGTTCCATGTTATCTGAGGCCAAGCATGTTGAGTCTTGCTTTATGTCACTTTGAACACCTCTCTGTAAGCACCAGGATAAACTAATCCCAGATTATCACATCAAATTGCTGTTGCTCACTAACCCTCCTCAGTGTGGTGTTGTTGAATTAATTACCAGTATTCATGATGGTTGTTACTGCCGTCCCTGAACACCCCGCGTGGTGCATCATCTAGATCTAGAGATATTTATCATTGCATTTTCCAAGTGGTCCCTCTCCTGCTTTTTATCACTAGCTGTGTTTACCAGGCTTCATTATGCGCTAGTTGTTTGAATCTCTCTAGTTCTTGATACTTTATTCAAGGCCATTTCGGCACTTAGAGCAATTCATTTTATTTTTCATTTACATTCTAATGGGCTGATTTATTCTGCTGTCATACAAGTGAGGAAAAAACCTCTTCTTTCATCCTCTTGGTCATTTCTGAATTCTTACTGCTTTCTTTTCCCTTTAAGTTTGAAGTTGTCATGTACACATCTTGTTTGCTTCCTTCTCTTTTGTCTAAATTAATTCTTGTCCTCGAACCTGAAGTAGCCACGTGGTAAGCCAGACACAACTACAGCTAAATGCCTGCGGCGCTTCAGCACGAGGCGTATCTGCATCTTAAGATGTTGCACTGGCATTGCGGGTACATGACTGATGTGCCTGCTGTGACTTCGACTGTACTACAAGCTGAAGACGTGGGGGGTTTTAGCTGGATCTGTTTGTAAACTGACGGATAAATTGGCAAAATAATGTCATGTTATCTCACAAGGCTGAACAAGTCCCTGTAAACTTTCTGTTGATGTCACTGTACCAAAATGAGAACTGTCTTTTTAAGTTACACCAGCTGTATGCTGGGCGCAAACTGTTCTGCGCAACAAAGAGAGAGCAGAGCAGTCGGGATAAGGAGAACGGGTTTGCCCTTGTGTGATTTCTTTGGCATTAAATTCTTTCAGTACTGGTCCTGACTGGTGTTTTATCTCTGACAAACCAAAAGAAATTAGCCAGGAGAAAAAAAATAAACGAGGAAAGACCAAGTGCGTTTTGTGGCGGTGGAGTAGTTTACAAATGGTGTTCAGGGTGGTTTTAGGTGCTTGTGGTGCTTAAATGAACTTGCTGGGGTGAGGAGTGAACACGTGTGTGCACCCACGCGAGGCTGATCCCTCATCTGTTGCTGCTGAGCCCAAAGGAGAGCAGAAGTGCACATCATAAGCACCCCCATAAGATACCGCAGAAGAGTTTGTGGGCATTTCTCCTCATACATAAACCTTTCATGACTGATTTTCTCCTTTTGGCATGTTTTGCAGATAAGTAAGCAGCAGCTCCAGACAATCAAAGATCGTTTCCAGGCCTTTCTCAATGGAGAAACACAGATTGTGGCAGATGAAGCGTTTATAAATGCTGTCCAGAGCTACTACGAGGTAAGGAGAGGCAATACCATGTTTGTATGAATCCCTGTTCTCACCCCTCTTCCCAAACAGAGCCAAATCCTGAACTAATGGACCATCCTTTTTCAAACAGCGTAAAACAAAGGCAAGTGCAAGGCTGCTTCTGTCTGATGTCTGGTGCATCACAGGGTTTGTGACGTTCAGGCTTTGAACATGCAACCGTGGCAACTCCTACACCATGGGGTATCCTAGAGCTTGATTATGGGGAAGATCACCCTTCCTTTAAGCTGAAAAACATTTTCCTGATACTTTTAAACAGTGGACTCTAATCCAGGGAAGATGCCACAATGTAAAATAAATTTCACGTGCTTCCTATGAAAAATACCAAGAGAAAACTGGGCAGTATGTTCCGTTCTTGCTTTTGTGTTGAGTCTAATTGACTTGGGGATTTTCAGCACGAGTCTTGCCTTTTCTCTTTGGTGTGACAAGTGCTGTAAAGCAAAGGGGGAGGGAGGGGGATGTACATCTACAAAGCTAGATGATAGCAAAGAACATGAAGCATCATTCATAATTGTGCAAAAGAATAATTATGCATGTCTGTCTTTTTACACCTCTTTGTATGCAGCCCTTAATGCTGCCTTTCATCTCTTTCCTCGGAAGGAAAGAGCTGCTGTTTTTGAAGGAAATAGGTGCTTGTGATTTGTATGAGGAGGATTTGTATGGGTTTTTTTTTTTTGCTAGCCTTTCTGCAAACCATTTCTCTTTCTCCCTAGAGCTATTCTGTCATAAAAGGTGAAGATTTTGAATTGTCTCCATAAAATATTTCTCTGGAAGTGGAATCCAAGTGGGGACCAAAATCAGATACTATGACTGCAGAGAATTTTAACTTTATAAAAAATGTCAGCAGCTGCTTCTGTATAAGGAAAGCACAAATTATCTCTGGATTAATTCTATTACACCGGCCTAATAGTTACTGCTCCATCATTCTCTGTACAGGAAGGAAGCTGAGAGTAATTTACATCTCTTATCAGAAAAGAAATTGCCAGGGGATCATCAGTTTATCACAGCTTCACCGAACAGATGCTCTCGGAGAAAGTTTTCAGGATGGCGTGAGCTGCATTTTAGGATGTAAGAGCAGCCTAATCTGTGCAGATAAGACTATTGGGCAGGAAAGGGAAACTGCTTAAAAACAGGCAAAATACATCTCTTTCACTGATGGGTCTGGTTGAACGTGTGTCCTGACCAGCTCCAGACATCCTATGCTGTGTAATTACCCCAAGTGATTAAACTTACAAAGAGCAGTTAATCAGCACTAGATGTCTGCAAACCCTGTGCCTTCAGCTCAGCTGGACACTCCCCTGGCTCTGTCCTACTTAAACAGGCCACAAAAAGTGTAATGCATTGCTGTGTCCTTCAGCACGACTTTCTTTTTCTTATTTTTAACCGGCAGTCTCCTCTCCCTTGCTGCTGTGGACTTCGAGCTTCTGTGCAGCTGTAGAACAGCTGTGTGCGCCTTCTCTGGCACCGTCTGCAGTGGCACAAGGCAAAGCCTCGCCGCAGAAAGCCTCTGCCCGCTCTCAGTGCCAAAGCTGATGATGATTCCCTGCTGAGGGTGCTCCTTCCTCCCTCTCTGCAGAGAGGTGCCCACCCCTGCTTGAGCCAGGGTGTCACCACAGCAGATCCTGCTTCTCTCAGCTCCTGCAAATCTGAGCTGTGTGCCATTAACTGTCCCTTGGATGGATGCTGTCTAGCAATCAGCATTCCTACTGACTTAGGAAGCTGCACAATGGCATGGAAAATATTGAAACTTGGGGTTTTTGCTGAGGTGAAACTGGCCATCTCTGCTGGACATGGCTGGTGTTTCTAAGGGCTCCACTTAGTACCAGTGCAGAATAGGTACATTACTTGGGGAATGATTTTTGTTTTGCTGGAGAAAGAAGGAGGTAAAGGTGAGATTGTAGGTCAGGATTGTGTTTACTCTGGCCCTAATTGTTTGCATGGTCCCATTCTGCTGTTAAGGCTGCTGAAAGGGGTAAGCATGTGGTCAGTCAGACAGTTCACCGGCTGCTATCGAATTAGAATAGTGAATGACCTGAGCAGGCTCTGCTGCTGGTGCAAAGCACCGCTGTGCCTGCAGAACTGCTGCAGACCTGCCTGTGAGACAGGCCCAGCACACTCCAAGAGACCTCTCCTCATGTCCTTTTACTCCTCATGAGTAAAGCTTCATCCCTCAACCAGCACTTTGCAGCACTCCCTTCGGTGAGTATTACGGAAGTGCTTCCTCAGGCCTGTTCCCACTCTGCTGTGGGCAGGTGGACCAGGGCCACGTGAGGTGTGGGGCTCATCTGGGGACGTGGCCGGAGTCGGCTGGCCCCGCTCACAGAGGTCAATTCTCTTTTGCACGGGCCGTTGCATGCACCCACGCCAGGATTTTGCTCCAGCAATTCTTGATTCCTGGCAGTCCTGCAGCCAGTCTCACAGCCGGGCGATTCACCTGGTATTTTCTAAAGAAAGCAGCTCGCTCTGCAGGACAAAACACCTCTTTTATCTTTTTTTTATCTTCCTATTTCACGGTCTTTTTGCTGCTCTGTGTCAGTCTGGCGCTCCCCCGCACCAGCCTCCTCTCTGCCAGCCGCAGCCCTCCTTTCCTCTGCTGGCTGCTGCTCCGTGTCCCAGGAGGATAGATCGAGGCTGGGGGAGATGAGGAGTTGGGTCCATCTGTTCTGATAGGGATGAGGACCACGAAGAACAACAGCCGCTGGTACTGACGGTGTGGGAAATCATTAGCGCTGTTGCATGGGGTCAAGCCAAAGGCACCTGGAGTGGATGAGTAGGGGGGGACGTGGGAGCTGAGGATGCTGCACCAGGGCCGTTCACTGTGACCTCCCACCGTTTCCAGCGGTCAGTGTACTGGGCACTTCCTCAGCTGCGCAACAGCTTGGATTTTGATAGCTCTCACCTATTACCTAAAAGCACCTGTGTACACCCATGCTGGTATCACTCGTATTAAGGGTCTGCAAGGAAACAAATGTGTGCTGGTATCGTTTCAGCGTGGATGAAAGAGGCTGCTGGTGCCATCCTGCCTGTCGCGTCTGCAGGGAGCGCTCCCCAGCATGGTGATGTTGGAAGGAAACAGCCCAGCTCTTCCTCAGCAGCGTTTCTGGGCTGGTCCTGGAGCAAAACCCACTACTACTCCCAACAGATGCCTGTGCCATCAAGCATCTGGAAACATGGATTGCCACGTTGCTGAGTTGTATTAAAAAATCTACCATGTCCTTAGGTCATCCTCAAGCTCTTTAATTATTGAGAGCTGACAGATACACCCTGGTGCTGGCACAGCTTCTTCCCAGCCTACTGCATTCTTCCATCCTCAGCAGCATTAATAAAACAGCAGTTCTTGCTGGGCATTGATTGCTCTCCTGTGCTCAGGGCTTGGGAGAGGAGTGCCAGCACAATATCCCCATGCCCCTCTCTCGCCCTTCAGCTCTGTGTTGCTCCCATGGTATCTCCTGATCTGCAGGGCTCTGCTATGTTTTGACCCTTTCTGCTGCTCCTGCAGTGAGAAAAGCATCTTCATCAAACACCTTTTCCTTCCCTCCTGCTGCCAGTGTCCTACACTGTTCATCCTTGTCCTTTCCCAGGGTGTTTTAACGGTGCTCTTGCAGTGCTGGTTGTCCAGGTTGGAAAGATCAGGGTATGGGAGAAGTTGGGACACATGTTACTTAACTGAAGGTAACATTAAATTAATGAGTACAATGCCAGGGCAGGCTGCAAAGATCTCCTCTGGCGTAGTACTTTATTGTAAGCCTGGTCCTTGCACTAGCCAGAGGTTTCCCAGGGGCCTGGCACCAGGATAAATGATGTAACGCAATGCTGCTGACTTGAGTAGGATGACTGGGCTCCCTCTACAAGACAGAATTTGGCTGGGTGAATATAGCTGTGCAATAACTTCCTTATTAAAACATTCAATAGAACAAAATATAATCCTGCTTTCCCAAAGGGCATTTATATATCTGGTGAAGTGTGACCACATGAAGTCCTAATTGCATCAAAATGTTCCATTTTAGCAGACACAAAGCAGAAGCTTCACCTGATTTCATTACGCTTCCCAAAATACAGCTGAAACCTCTGTCCATCCGACAACGTGGCTGTGGAGTGGGGAGTTGGAAAGTGGACTGGCAGCCAGTCAGCGGGCTTCCCAGCACTGAAACCACCTTTTGTGGTGCTTAAGGGGAATTTTCTGTTTTTTAACTGACACCATTTGAAGTCGCCTCTTTTTTGCAGGTGTTTCTGAAAAGCGACCGCGTTGCCAGGATGGTGCAGAGCGGAGGGTGCTCAGCGAATGACTCCCGGGAGGTCTTCAAGAAGCACATTGAGAAGAGAGTGCGCAGCCTGCCAGAAATTGATGGCCTCAGCAAGGAGACGGTCCTGAGCTCTTGGATGGCAAAGTTTGATGCTATTTACCGTGGGGAAGAGGATCCCCGCAAGCAGCAAGCCAGGATGACGGCGAGCGCTGCCTCGGAGCTCATCCTCAGCAAGGAGCAGCTCTACGAGATGTTCCAGAACATTTTGGGGATCAAGAAATTTGAGCATCAACTTCTGTACAATGCTTGTCAGGTAAGGTCCTTCCCCCAGGATGGGTGGGAATGGATTTTCCTGGGGAAGCGGTTGGCAATGGGCTCTGTTGCTGTTATGAACTGGAAACTTTGTGTCTGACCGGACTGGTTTTGAGAAACATTCTACTAGGGAAGGGGGTTTTGGTTCATGGTGGGACTTTTGCACTTCCAGTTGTGTTCTGGCTGTCCAACTGCGCCTCCTTCTCTTGCTCATACTTGTTTTGTCTTGGTTGGTTGCTTAGGGTCTCCTGCAGATGTTTTGGAAGGTCTTTATATAAAGTTTTCTTTCCTGAAATCCCATAAGATTGCCGAGATGGGAAAATTCCATTCCTCCAGCTCAGTGTCTGGAAGAGTAGGTCTTTGATGGTGCCTGAGTGAGCCGTTTTGCTGGGATTCGCTTGCCTTTCCGCTGTCACATCACCACCCCGAATGCCAGAAGTATGTTTCCGCAGCCTGCAAAACCACTTAGGAGTCCTTGCAGCTCAGATGCTGCCGAGGGGGGATGTCTTATGCAAACTTGCTTACTGAGGTTGTACGGCTTCTGCTTAAGCAGAGCGAGCCTCCGTGACCCCTGCGTGCCCGTGGTGGAAAGAGAGAGCGTCCCAAACCCCCGTGACGGCTCTGATTGCACTATGAGTTCCCAGATAGATTAAAACCTTTCCCATTCCTCTCTTTTCTCCCCAGTAAGAGCCAGCTCCCCAGAGGCGTGGAGCTGGGACTCTGCGGTGCTGCTTGCGTTTCCAGCAGCTCTTGCTGAGGGCTGTTAGTGGCTGTCCAGGCTGTTGGTGACCCAGATTACGGTCCCCTGCTATTGGATATAAATATCGCAGGCAGGATAAAGGATGTCAGAGTCACGGGGAGGGTAAGGTGATGCTGTGGAAAGTTTTCGGAGGAGGAGCAGTCCTCAATCTCTTCCACGTAATTCAGGGGTTCAGCTTCTTACTGAAATTAATACATTCAAGACCAATTCTGTCTTCTGTCTAGACATTAACAATTCTCTTCAGGACATAGAAAATTATGTTTGATCTGTGTTTTCTCCTATAAGGAGCTTAGTTATCTTGCATTTGTTCTTCTTCAACTCAGAACTTAATGGCAGTGTGGAGAGAAGGTAATAAATGTCCCCTTATGTTTTTGTAGCAAAAAGGCAACAGCAAGAACTGCATCGGTCCTTGTAAGTTATGTTTACAAACTGGATTATGTGCTCTATCCTCTGTTGGAGGAGTTCTTTAAAATCAAACCCATAATGTGTTGAGAGCTGAGTCAGTTCTGCAGTGGTGGTTTGTTTTTTTTTTAACTTAAACCAACTCAAGCCCTGTGTGTCTCCTCCTCCCTTGACCTGTGCTCAGCTAAGGAACTAGGGCGGTTTTCTGTGAGCGTGTGTGGCCCTGCCCTCCTGCTGTGTGGTTCCCAATGATGCAGAAAAAAGTATTGAACTGTGGCTGCCCTGCTTTGTGGATGATCTCTGTTTATGAGACATTTTTTGGCTGTATTGGGTTTGCATGGCAAGGTTTTGGTAGCAGGGGGGCTGCAGGGGTGGCTTCTGTGAGAAGCTGCCAGAAGCTTCCCCTGTAGAGCCAATGCCAGCAGCTCCAAGACAGACCCGCTTTCTCATTACCCTCCTCTGATTGGTCATGTTAATTAAGAACTATTGTTGATTTATTAATTAATCAATTAAATATTAATAAACTAACTTCCCCAAGTCTATTCTGTTTTGCCCGTGACTGATCCCTCCCTGTCCTTATCTCGACCCATGAGCCTTTCCTGGTTTCTTCTCTCCCCTCTCCCATTGAGGAGGGGAGGGACAGAGCAGTTTTGGGGGCCACCAGGCCACCAGCCAGAGCCAACCCACCATCAACCCCAAGGCTGCTCCTGCAAACTGCCCTGTTGCATCGAGCAACCTGTTTCCTATTGTCGGTCCTGGTTTTACTCCAAAAGCGAAGGATTTAATTCTGGGTCTTTTCTAATACTCTGAGGCAGCAAACCTGTAATTTAAGCCTTTAGAGAAATACATAATTTCTGTTGAAAGCGAGTATTAGCATGGGAGTTACTCTGTTTTTAATACCCGGACAGTGTGTATTAGCTCTGTGGGGGGAAAGCCCTTTATGCAGGGCACAGCTTGGAAAGCTGCAAGGCCAGCAGTCGTTCAGCTGTTTGGCATCTTCCTGGGGTACGGTGTGAGTGGTTACGGGGCCGTGGTGCTGGCATGGTGGGGTGGGAGCCTGCCTCATGGAGAGGAGGTGGGATTGGGTCCCTTGCTGCTCCGTCTCCTGTTAGGTGCTGCTAGGAAGGCAGCAGTGAGCACCCAGGGAAGCTGTGGGCTCTGCTGTGGGACCCTTCCTTCAGTGCTACCTCTGCTCGTGTCCTCTGGGATATACCAGAGAGATCTTCCCAGAGAGGGTGGGGGGGCATGGGAACAGGTTGCCCAGAGAAGTTGTGGATGCCCCATCCCTGGAAGTGTCCAAGGCCAGGCTGGATGAGGCTGGGAGCAACCTGGTCTAGTGCAAGGTGTCCCTGCCCATGGCAGGGGGTGGAACTAGATGATCCTTAAGGTCCCTTCCCACCTAAACCATTCCATGAGCTCTGAAGCTCTCTGGCCACCAGCTGCTCTATGCTTCCGCAGGTTTCAAAGCCGCAGCAGCTGCTGGGTGCCCAATTCTTGCCCGCTGGAGATGCAAGTCACGCCCTGAGCACTGCCCGTTGTGGCTTGGGAACTCTCCCATGCCATAACCTGTGGGAATGTGGGAACATTTCTAG